CTCACGGGGTCCCCACCAGTGCGCAGAAACCCCCCTCCCCGTCAGGGAACCACACAGCTCCACGGTGCATAGCTCCCCCCGCAGGGAGTGAGGGCAACAAGGACTTACCTTTTTTTTTTAATTATTCTATTTATTTATTTTTAGAGGGGGAAGGGAGGGAGAGAGAGAGAGAGAGAGAAACATCAAGGTGCACTTGCTGGGGGCCGTGGCCTGCAACCCAGGCATGTGCCCTGGCTGGGAATCGAACCTGCGACACTTTGGTTCGCAGCCCGCGCTCCATCCACTGAGCTACGCCAGCCAGGGCCAAGGACTCACCTTAAAGAGGTGCCGTCTGGGTCAGCCTCACCTACCTTAGCTCGTCTGTGCGTTCACAGCGACCCTGCGAACGGTGCCGGGGCTGCTGCTGCCCCGTTTGACGAGCGAGGACGTGGGGGCACAGAGGAGGCCGGCAGCCCGCCCCAGGTCACACAGCCAGGGAGGGGCGGAGCTGGGGCTGGACCCCTGGACCCCGGAAGTCGTGTCCCCGGGGCCCCGCTCTGCGCCCTGTCTCCAGGGGCCGAGATCCCCGGGTGACCGTGGGATTCGGCCTGGTGTGAGTTAGGGCCCCCGAGGATGGGCACCTCACACCCTAAGCTGCTCGCTCCGCTCTGGGACAGCCGGCCCAGTTGGGGGGCGGACCACAGGTCAGGGACGAGACCCCGGCTCCCCGGCTGCCTGTCCCCTATCTTTATTTCCTTTTTTTGTTTGTTTTCAGCAGGACCGACGGAGGGCCCCACGGCAGCAGGGGACAAGCCGAGTGAACTCTGCAGCCAGGCGGGGCCGGCCTCGGGCAAGCCGCCCGCCCTCCATGGTCTCAGCCTCCGTGCTGAGCAGTGGGCACCACGGAAGGATGGGTCTCATCCGTGCCAGCGGCCCCGAGAGCGTGGCGGTGGCCAGCACACGAGAGATGCCAGCCGCTGAGAGTGGGGTCCTGGGGCCGGCGCCCCCCGCTTGTGGGGGGGGGGCCCGGGGAACCTCCCCACCTCTGAGCCCCCACAGTGCGGGGCGCGGGGATGAGTGGATGGATGGAGGGATGGATGGAGAGGCGGACGAACCCACCGCCCCGTTTGCTCTGCTGCGGGAGGTGGGCTGCCTGCGAGAGCAACAGCCAGGCCCCGCCTCCCCCGCCCCCGCCCCCGCCCTGGCAGGACGGGCCCCTAACGGACCCCCAGCCCCTCACCCAGCGCCGACCCCTCCTCCCCCCACCCCCACGAAGAGCCCTAAGAAGGGACCGTCACCCTCGGATCGCAGCCCTTTGAAATGCTGCCGTCAGTGAACACCGGCAGTCATCTCTGTGCCAGCTGACGGGCTGGCTTTTCCAACCAGGGCGAAGGAAGCAGCGCGGGGGCGCCCCGCACGCCCCCGCCCGCCCGCCCCTCGCACGCGCGTGCACGCGCTCTCCCTTGCACACTCGGATGCCTCGTTATTCCCCCGCTCACGTCCAGAAGACACGCAATCCAGGCCCCTCGGTCTGCGATGTGCGTGCACCGAGCCGGGCCGGCGTCACGGCGAGATCGCCACGTCACGGCACTGTTCGCCTCGCAGGGTGTTTTTTTTTCAGAGTTCATCCGCTCTCTGCGTGGGCTTGGCCCGGAGGGACCCCTCGGGGTCGGGCAGAGGCACCCCGGGGTCCAGTCGCCGCACTCCGGAGAGGAACAGTGCAGACGGCCACGGGCTAACGTATTAAGTGCCTGGAGGCACGGGCCGTTCCCGTAGCAGGTGCTGGCGGAATCTGCCCCGGCCACGTGGCCCGCGCTGTCTGGGGAGAGGGGGCTTGGAAGACACGTCTCCCGGGGCCCCGTGCTCCACGGGGCGGGCAGCTGCAGCAGAAGCCGGGGAAGTGGGCACCCGCTCCCAGCGGCCATCGGCTGCCCCTTCTGAAATCCCCTGGGTGCCCGAGACCGGGGTGGGCCCCCCGGGGCCAGCTCGGGTCTGCCGTAAGCGACGCATCTGCAGACGGGGAGCTCACCCCTCGGAGAGCCCCCCAGGAAGGCCGGGGGGGACTCTGGCCCTTGCCCTCGCACCCTGGCACCCGGGCCTCCTCTGCCTCCATGGGGCGAGACTCGGGTCGGAAACGGCGGCCGGGTGCAGAGCCTCCCTCCCGGGAACGCTGGCCACGCCCCCGCGTGACGGGGTGACTGCGTGTGGGGGCGGGGCCGAGACGAGAAGCTCAGGGTCCCCCGAGCACCTGGATTCTCCTCGAGTCCCTGCGTGGGAGTCGGGCGCGTGCAGAGCTCAGGAGAGAGACGCGGTCCCTCCCCGCAGGCTGCCCGCCCTGGTCCCCGAGAGACGCGAGGACACGGAGGCCCCACCTCGACGCGCCGGGCCGCCCCGACCGCCGCCGCCCTCGCCCGCGCCCTCGGGAACTGCTGCACGTGGTCCCGCGTGTCGGGGTTTTTCCGCCAGCCCGGCCATCTGTCGCGTGTGAGTCCCAGCCACGGCGCCGGGCGTGTGGAGGGCTGCTGGCGGCGGGCACGTGGCAGCCGCCGTGGCCCCGGCATAGGGGGTGCTGGGGGGCACGTTGCAGCGGAAGGCTGGCCGCGGGGAGGCGCCTCGCCCCCCCGCCCCCCGCCCCGGGGCCTGGTGCTGGCCGCCACCGAGACCTCGCGCGGCCCCCGCCCTTCCCTGCGAGCGCAGGAGAACGTGCTGTTCAGGGGCACCCGGGGGCGAGGGGCTGCTGTGGGGTCCAGAGCACCCCCTGGGCACCCCCTGTTTTTATTTGTGGCTAAAAATCAGGCCACGCTTCGGTCACTCGGAGAAGGAGTTCGGTGGTGACCACCGGGCACCGGGGCATCGTTGTTCTAACGAGATCCGTTCCGCACAGCCCCCCCTTGCTGGCTGCGTGGCCCAGGGTCCGTTGCCCCCCCCCGCCCGTGACCCTCTATGCGGGGAGGCTAAGAGAGGCGGCCACCTTCCGCGTGTCGGGGGGACACTCCGTGCTGGTTTCAAAGGAGCGGGCTCCCGTCGCAGCCCCCTCAGGCGCCGGGACCCCACGTCCCCGCAAAGAAGCCAGCACCTCCCGGGGCCGCCGCACCCGCCCAGGCCCGCACCTGCGAACCCCCGCCCGGCGCGTGAGTGCAGACCCGGGGACAGGTGCGGGGCTCCGAGCTGCGACTCTCCGGCAGCTCGTCCGCCAGGACCGAAGCAACCCCCACGTTTAAGAAGAAAAAGCCCTGTCACTCGGCCACGGCGGGGACGCTGCCCGGAGCGGCGTGGACGGCTGGGCTGCGGGCGTCTCTCACCCGGCTTTCGCTCCCCCCCGCCCCCCCCACCCCGTCTCCTTATATGGGATTTCTATTAACGTGCTGTCTTTCCTCTCGGGCTGGGGAGAGGGTGGCAAGTCTGGGAGGAGGGTGTCGGGAGCCAGTCGGGGCTGACGTGTCCCCCCCCCCCGCAGGCTGGGGCCCCGCAGCACCCGCCCCCCCCCCACCGGTCGCCGAGAGGACAGAGGGAGACCAGGGGGCCTGGCGCTGAGCATGTGCCCGGGACGCACGGCGCCCGCGGCGAGTGATGTTTATCGGGAGAGAGGCGCCTGGTGGGTGGGAGCAGGTGCTGCACCCGGTTAATTAGCGCGTCACGCGCAGCCCCGGCCCCCGAGGACACGGGGCGGGTGGCGTTCGATTGTCCCGCTCGGGGGGGGGGCAGAGAGGCTCCTGAGGGGGCGGGCCCCCACTCGGCGCACCCGGTCAGAGGAGAGAGGTGCTGCCCAGCCTGTCCGGGGGACACGCTCCGGGGTCGGAAGGGCCTGAGTGACCCGGGGGCCCAGCAGGGGCAGGCCGGGCCGCAGGCTGCACCCGGGGTCTGTGTTGGGCTGGTGAGCACCCAGCCGCCTGCCCTCGGCCCACCTGTCGGGAGGGAAGGGGCGCCCGGTCGGCCGGCCCTCAGGACTCTCAGCTTCAGGACGGGGCGACCTAGCAGTTTCCTGGCCCCGGGTCTGTCTGTTTTCCCGAGAGAACTCGAGGGTTCCTCAGGTGGACGCAGGGCCACGTGCAGGGTGCCAGGCTGGGTTCTTTACGTGTTCTGAGCCTTTCTCATTCCAGATCTTTCCCAGTCCAGGGTCCCCGTGGCTGCAGTCTCCTCCTAGGTGTCTGCGGGGCAGGGGTCCCCTCTCTGTGCCCAGGGTCACCCTTTCAGGTGACAGGGCTCCCCCTGGCACCCAGCCCAAATCCGCTTCCCTGGAACTTCTGGGAACTTCTGGGTCCCAGCCCTGGGCTTTGTGTCCCGCAGGAAGGTCTGCTGCCCTCCCCGTGGGTGTCCCGAGTGGTCCCACGCCAGCCCCTCCTCTGTGCGCTCAGTGGCGGCTCGCCAAGAGACGCGGGGTGGGGGGGGGCGCGAACGGGGAGCAGGGCCAGCTCGCCGCAGTGAGCCCCTGGGTGCCGGGCGCTGGCCGTCGCTGGCCGTGCTCAGGCCGGGCTGTGCTGTGGTCCGTCTGGAAGATGAGAACCAGAAACTTGCCCGGCGAGGGACTCGCCCCAAGGTCGCGCTGTGGGTAAGCAGCCTCAGCCTCGGCGTGACGCCAAATCCCAGCGCGGCGCAACGGGAGAAAGGGGAGCAGGCAAAGAGCAGCCGGAGCCCCGCGGGGCAGGGGCGGGCAGCGGCACCCCCAGGCCCGCGGGGCGTCGCGCAGCCTCGTCCCGAGCGGGCGACTCGTCAGCACCAGGGACAGCTCCGGGGCCGCTCCCCGCAGCCCCCGACGGCGGCGCGCGCGAGGCCGGTCGGCGCGCGCTCCCGGGCCGGCTCGGGCGCGCGCCTCCCCGCCAGCGCGCGCCCCGCGCCCGCCCGGGACTGAGCTAGAGCCGCGCGCGTGCCGCTCGCAGGGAGCCAGCCCGGGCGTCCGGAGCCGCGGCCACCGCCGGGGCTTGGCAGGAGTCTCCCGCCTGGGCACGCAGTCGTCGCCCGCGGGCCCCCGGGCCCTCGCCCGAGCCCGCCGCGCCGGCCCGGCCCCCCCAAGCAGGCGCCGCCACAGTGGCCTGGGCGTGAGCGGCCGTTACTAGCTGCGCGCTGCCCGCTGCCCGCTGCCCGGGACGGACGCCGAGGCGCCCCGTCACGTGCACCCAAGTCCTCGGCTGGCCGGGGCAGCACCGTGCCCATGGTTCAAGGTAAGGGCCCCGCGGGCGCGCGCGGCATGGGGGCAGAGGCTGCAGGCGCGGGCCGCCCCAAACCCCTGCCTGCCTCGTCTGGAGAGCCCACAGCGACCTGCTCCAGCCGCCTTGCTCAGGGGCTGCCTGGACCCGGGTCTCGTGTCCCACCTCTGGCCCCCGTCCAAGTGCGTCCCTGTCCAGGAACCTGTGGACAGCGACAGAGATGGGCAGCGAGGGTCTGAGGGAGAGGCTGGGGCACCCAGCAGGTGCCAAGGGACCCTTCACCTTTCTCGTGGCCTGGGTGTGAGGGAAACCGGGAGGGGGAGGCTCCCCGGGGAGCCGGCCCCGCCTGCTCTCTGCTGCCAGCACAGGAGACCTTGCCTCCTCGGGACCTGCCTTCCCGCCGCCAGGCACCCTGGGGGGATGGGGGGGGGGCTGGATCTGCCTAGTGGCCCATTCAGTCCTCCCAGTGTCCGCGAGGACGCGGGCATCGGCCCTACTGGGCAGGTGAGGAAACAGGTCCAGGCAAGTTTGGCCACCCGTCCAAGGTCACACGGCTCGTGAGTGGCAGAGCTGGCTTCCCCCCGCGTGTGGCTGCTTGAAACCTCAGCGTGCACGGCGGGGGGCCGGGGCACCGGACTGTCACTTGGCTCTCCCCGCCGGGCACGAAAGGACTCTCCAGACACCAGAGAGTCCGGGACACGTCGCCCCTCTGCCCCTGGCCCTGCCGTCTCAGCCCACGTCACGTCTTGCAGCCCCTCGGCCCGGCACCGCGTGGGCCGGGGGCCCTGCTGCCGCGCGCCTGGTGGCTGCAGGGCGAGACTGTCCGGGGGCAAGGTCACTGACCGTCCAGGAGGGTGACCACGGGGTGTCCCGGAGGCTGTGGCTCCCACATGGACTCCTCGGTGCTCCCCAGGAAGTCGGAGCGCAGGGACGCCAGAGGGGCCGCCCTGCCAGCCCCCTCACCCCCACCCCCAGCATTCCCCTCCACCCAGGCCAGGCGCCTGGGGGCTTCCAGGCACCACGGGAACCCCCAGCCCCCAGGAAGTTCGGACTCTCTAGGGGAGCCCGTGCACCCCTCTCCCTGTGCGCCCCTCTCCCCGTGGCATCAAGGGTGCAGCCCGGGAGCCTGGGGCTCTCCTCACCCTGGCAGGTACGCAGGCACCTTCTGGGCCCTCGCAGGGGTGGCCTGCTCCCCCTCCCCCCCGAGCACGGCTGCAGGCTCCCCAAGAGCTCAGGCGCTGGGACTTGTGGGCAACCCTGCTGCCTCCTGAGGCTGGGCCTGAGCAGAGTGGGGTCCCATTCATCCTTGCACTTGGCAGTGGTTTGCTGAGCCCCCGCGGCCGGGATGAAAAACTCAGACAGGGTGGCCCTGTGCCCTGGGCGCTGCTGAGCTCCTGTCCCCCCGTCCACGGAGTTTCCAGTGGGGCCGACTGGCCCGGGCTCACGGGGGCGCTTGGAGACGGCCTCCGGAAGGGCCTGGGGGTCTGGGAAGGACCCACAGGGTCTCCCGGCCTCGGTGGCCCTGAGGCCAGCGGGGACGGGTAGGTGGGGGGCTCTGGGAGCAGCCGCTGGCCTCCCTGGACCCGGTGGACATGTTGCTCAGAGCACTGCCCCCCCCAAGTGTCGCAGCCTCTCCGCTTTGTCTCTTCAGTGGGCGGGGGGGGGGGTGGCGTTGAGTCCCCAGACACACGTGGCTGAGGCCAGCACAGTCCTGGGACGCGAGCAAGGGCGCACGGGGAAGACGTGGGCTCGGATGCAGCCACCAAGACCCAGCCCGGCTCTCTCCACCTCTCCGGGCGACCGTGGACCGGTCCCCGGCCCCGTGACTGCCCCCAGTGGGCCGTCAGTCACAGCTCTGTGCACCCGAGCCCTGAACGGAGTGGGCGGAGCTGCAGCGCGGGGGCGTGCAGAGGGCTGTGAGGTCCGGGGCGTCCAGGCCCCCAGGCTTTCCCTCCCCGCTTCCCCCGCAAGTGACCGCCCGGTCTTGCACTTTGGGAGCCGCCTCTAAGTCACTGGTGCTGGTTCTGGGGGAGCCACCGGGCCCGGGCCCACTCCCGCTGAGAGGCCTGTGGGGTGGTGCCCCCCGGGGGAGCCTGCTCTGCAGAGACCCGGCGAGACCACGCACGGGGGGGAGGGGCCGGGGAGCGGGTGGAGCCGCGGGGGAGATTGATCGCATCTCAGGAGATACAGCTGAGTCGGCTCTCCGGCCCGAGGCAGGCGGGGGGGGTAGTGGCCCTGGCTCTGTCCCCGAGGTGGCCCCGGCCCTGGCACCCTCCCCGGAGCGGCCGGCATCCGTGTCAGCGAGAAGGCAGTTTGTGGGGGCGGGAGGGTGGGGGGAGTGGGTGTCGGGCTCCCCGGGGCACCGGCTCAGCCTCTGCAAGCACAAACAGGGGGTGCCTCTGCCCCCAGCCCCGCCAGCACGGGGTGGGGGGGCCGCGGAGAAGCCCGAGGGGCTGGGGGCCCAGCATCAGCTCCCTGTCGCCCCCTCTGAGGCCTCCCCGGGGGGCTTCCCGGCCTGGCTGGGCTGCGCCCCCTGGCCTGGGGCTTCCTCGCAGGGACTCTGCCCTCTGGGTCCGCCCCGCAGGCACTTGGCACGCGCCCAGCATCATGGCCAGCGCCTCTCCCTCCGCCGCGCGGCAGGGAGCCCCGGTGTGAGTGGGCTCCTCTCTGTGTGCGAAGAAGCCCTTTGTTCCCGCTGGGGTCCAGTCCCCTCCCCGCACGGGCGGGCGCCGACGCTGCAGGGGCTCCCGGGGGGCTGGCCAGCCTGTCCTGGGGGAGGGGGGGCTGCTCGGGAGCCCCGAACTCGGGCCGAGCTTGGGGTCCGAGCCGACACTGCTGCTTCCCAGCCCTGGGACCCCGGGCCTTCGGCTCCTGGGCTGTGCAAGGGGGACGGTGACCCCTGCCGCCCCAGGGACTCAGGAGTGTGGGGAGGTCACACCGGGCACCCCCTCGGAGGGCCAGGCGGGAACTCAGGCAGAGCAAGCCGGGAGGGGGCGCGCCAGACCTGGCCCCCAGAGCACGGCCCCCGGCTGCAGCGAGGAGGGCCACTTGGAGAGGCTGAGGTGGGGCCGAGAGGTCGGGGAGAGGCCGCGGCCACCCGATCAGAAGGGACACGCACCTCGGGGGCCTGGACCTGGGAGTAGGGAGTGGGCTGGGGCGACCGGACACCCAGTCGGGGGACGGGGCACGGCCCGGGGCTGACCGGACACCAGCTGCTTCTCGGACACGCCTCCCCAGGGAGCCCGGGCGGACGCCCACCCGGGCTGGACACTGGGGCCCCACCCCGCTGGCGTGCCAGCGGTGGGGACGCAGCCCCGGAGGGCGGGGGCCTCGGGGGGCGCTCTCTGCTCCAGCAGCAGCCTCGCGTCGGAAGTCTGACCGCACCGTGGCTGGTGTGACTGCCTGTCCCCGGGGCCTGCTTCCTGCCCCTCGGGGTTTCCACGGGAGGGGCCCTGGACCGCGTTCCCGGCACCCCCCCGGGGCTTGGCTTTCCCAGGCGGCAGAGGCAGGAGGCGTCGGGGCCTGAGGAGGTCCTGGGGGAGGCTGGCCACGGCCTGGGGCACGAGTCCCAGAGGAGGCCAGGCCCCCAGGGCTGTGGCCGCGGCTGCCACCTCCCCCGGCTGCTGGGGACAGCTCACTGCGTGGCTGTGTCGGTGAGAGCCCCACCTTCAGGTCTGTCCGGAGCCCCATCTGGGGTCCAGCTCTGTGTCCCTGCGGAGGTCACTGAGCCTCTCGGGCCCTCGGGGCCTTCACTCCTACAGTGACAGTAACAGCGTCCACCGGGGATGTGCCAGCTTCTGTCTCAGCCGCTGACCGGGGCCCTGGACACAGCCTCTCTCGCAGGTGCCCGCGGGGCCGGTGACCACGTGGCTGAGCCGCACGGCGGCCAGGGGGCGGCCACTGACCAGCAGGTGGTCCCGCACAGAGGGACCACCCCGCCTCTCGGTGCTTCCCCACCAGGGCCCCGGCTTCTGTCTGTGCGGCGGTGGCACAGGCGCCCCCCCCCCCGGGGACCACTCCGGGGCTGGCCTGCCTGGTGGCGGCCTGGCTCGGGGCCCCGGGTCCCCGGAGGGCGGTCCTCTCTGTTTTCGGTGTCACCGTTGTCTGCTGCGTGCGCTTTACACCGTGCCAGGGTGGGTCTGGGGCCGGGCTGCCCAGGTGTGAGCTGCTGCGGGCGGCCGTGTGGCGCCCCGGGGGTGGGGGTGGGGGGTGGGGGGGGAGGTGCTGCACACGCAGGTTGTCCCCAGGCCCCGGCCAGACCTCTGGCCTTGACGAGCTCCCGGCTGACCCCCGAGCCCGGCGGCCGGAGTCCCACGGCCCAGAAAGCAGGCCGGACGCCGAAACAGTCGGCCCGCCGGCTGCAGGCTCGCGTGGCTTTGTCCCTTCCCGCTGCTCACACTTCTAACCCCCACACGTGCGTGACGTTTTAATGTCCCGCGGGGTTCTTTAAGTAAAATAAGTGCGTGCTGGCTGTGGAGGAAAAGCCGAGCAGCCCAGCAGGTTTCCCGCCGGACCCGCCGCCCCCGCACCCCACCCCCCACCCCCGGCTCAGCACGAGCACCCAGCGGGCTCCTCCACTGCGGCGCTGTGTCACCTGCACCCACGCGAGTGAACAGGCGTGCGGGCCGGCCCCGTGTCACCTGCACCGTGTCGCTGGCAGAAGTCCGTTCAGCGGCCCGGTCCCCACGGGGAAGGCCGGGGTGGGGGAGAGGCGAGGGCCGTGTCTGGGGGGCTAGTGATGCGCAGGGCGGGCGTCCCGGCTCAGAGGGGACGGGCGGGAGCCAGGGCTGCGGGCGGGAGAGTGGGTGCCCGGTGCAGGCGCTCCCGGCCCCCAGGGCTGCAGACAGGTGCGGGGGGAGGCCCACGGCAGAGCCCGGCTGCCTGCTGGCCCTGCCTGGACTCGCCTTGCGCCGGACTGGGGGAGTGGTGGGGCGGCAGTTCCCCACCCCCCACGGGCGTGAGCTGGAGGGCTCTGCCCAGAGTGACGGTGCGCAGTGGAGACACGGCGCCGCAGG